CATGCTTTCAGCATACTGACGTACTCACCAAACAAGACAGACCAAGAGTTTGCATTCAGCACACATGCCTGTGCAGGTGATACTCGCCCTTCAGACGTGCTTTCAGCATGGCATCTTGAAGTCATTCACCGAAGAAGACTTTGCCGACGACGGTCAAGGCTGCAGCAACAAAGTAAGCCAGCAAAGACTTCTGAAGCGCAGGGTTCAGCGGCATGTAGAACATCGTTGTCTGGAAATCACCTTCCCGGCATCACATCACTGTCAGGCAACTCCAGAATCTCATGCAGCAAAACCCCTGCCTCCAGAGGAGAGCCTCTTCACCATGACAACAATGAACGACCGGACATACTGGACATCCGGGCCAACAGTGCGCAGCAAAGAAGCCTCACAAAGAAGGAGTGCATCAATTAATATAGTGGATCAGAATAGAATGCAATAGCATGAGCAAGAGCGCGTGCCGTCGGGTGCATGCGCGTGGGCCTGCCTCCTTCATCTCCAGCAAGGACTGCAGATGGCTTTGTTGCGGGTAGTGGCATCCGACCGCTGCATTGATGCAGGGCCACGTTGAGATAGCAAAGACGAGCGTCAAGTAAACTCCCCCGGCGTTGGGGGGCTTGTTGAAGACAACATACTGGACCACAGCATCGGAGATGAGGAGCACGCAGACAAACAACAATGACATGACAACTTGCTCAAATCTGTCCAGGATGAAGCGGACGTCGTTGTGAAGGAGGGAAGCTCTGGCCATCTTCCAAGCCTCCAAGTGCCAACTTGAAAGCCGCTGCTGATGGATCCAGCGCTTGAGGATCAGATCCAGGATCTTCATCGGATGCTGTGCCATCCGCAACCCCTGCAAAGTTTTCATAATGGTGACTCCGAAGAGGGAACCCATGATGCAGAAGATGAGTGCCTTCACTACGAGGCATACCCACAGAAGAGGAGCGTCGGGAATTCCATGGTGGACAGGGGGCAAGGTCATCCGGGTCAGCGTTATTTCCTTGCCAGCGATGCACCATGGATTTTGGGAGTCGGTAAAAAATGTCTGCATGCAGCGGGAAGCTCGCAGCGCTGGCTTGTCCAGCAGGTAGTACGCTAGAGCCCAGGAGTCACCATGCGGAACAAATGAGATCATCAGAGCAAAGCCGCCAAGACCGAAGATTGCCCCCAAGACATGATGAGCCCGAAGACGCCCGCCAAGACCAAAGATTGCCCCCAAGACATG